TAAAAACAACAGGCAAAAAGAAAGCAAATGCAGAGTCAAATCTTTGTGAGGACTTAACTTTCCAGTAAAACCAAAGAAAATCTTCTCTGTTTTATGAATGCCTTCTGGGGCCTAGAGTGTTCCATGTTCAAATCACAGCTTTTCACCCATAAAGGCTCCATATCTTCACTTCTCTACAAGAGTCTGCTCACTAGGAACTGAAAGAAGAATGAAGGAAAGAATAATGGTCTGACTTGGTTAGGCAGCTTTACAAAGAAATGCCTTAGAATCAGGTCTCTCCTCCACTGAGGAATGGATGTCCCCTTCCCCAGCTTCCACATCTAGCCTATCCCAGAAGGCTGGCTATCAGAGCCACACTTGCAGAAGGCCCCCAGGACTTGGCCTGCTGACCTAAGGATTCTTATAGAAAACTCACCCCAGCCACTTAGCAGTCAGAGAGAAAGCACATTACTCTTGCAGAGAATTTGCAGAGAAGGATTTTGCTGCAACCTACATTTGGTAAACTGGTCCATGTTTAGCAACTGTCAACTAGCAACTCTGGGGCAGCAAACAAATGCGTGAGGAAGGGATTGTGTGTCTCTTACTATGGGGATGGCTTCAACCCTGCATGTGGCTTAAATCAGCAAGCTCTGCCATATTGGGTGGGACAATGATGGTACTAAGAACCAACCTCCTTACCAAGACTGGGGGGGGGGGTCACTGCAGACCTAGTTTTATTTTCAGTTCTGTTTAGAGCAAGGGTTAAAGACTGGGGCCTCATGGACAGAATCCTGCTCCCAGCAGAGGTCCATGGGGCTGATTCTGTATTCTTTCAAATATGGTCTGAAGGTCTTCCTCTGCTGTGCAGCCATGCATGGAGTTATGCAATCCCAGGCTCCTTGGGGAGCCATCATTCCTTATGTGCACAATTCACTTACGTCCTCAGTTAGCAAAATATTTTTTAATCCTTTTTTTTTATATTACAATTTAGTATGGATAAATGGACAATACGTCAAATAAATGGTATAGAGTAAGTTTAATATACCCAAAGTGATTAGAGAGGATCAGGAACACCAGAGGACCGGAAGGTGGTTTCCAAAACGGTAGGTTTTGAGGAAGCACTTGAGTGAGGAGCTGAGCTTATGGACATCTGTGGCGTGTTCTTAATGGGAGCAGTCAGAGAGAAGGTCCTGAGCAGGGACCAGCAATGAGAGGGACACAGCCTGTGTACAGCATGCACTATGCAGAAGGCCCCAAGACAGAACTTTATAAAACATGCTATGGGGACTGGTGAACAGGACAAATCTAGACCCTGAAGGCCCTGTTACAGATTCTGAGTGCTATCCAGAAAGAAGTGTGATGCTATTGAAGGATTGCAAGTAAAAAAGTGACATCATCGGTTTAGCATAAAAACCATCATTCAGACTGGATCGAAGAAGGAAGAGCAAATGCCACTTTACTCCTAAAAATTTACACAAAGATGTGGCAATGGAGAGAATGCACAGATTTCCTCCATCTGAGCCTGGTCTAGCACTTACTACCTGGACCCCTGGGGAAGTCATTCAACTCTCTGGCCCTCAGTTTATCTTTCCAACTGTCAAACAGAAACAATAGCCCTGTCCCTATTTACCTTGTAAGGATAATTAAATGCATATGAAGGTGTTTTGCAAACTATAATGGTTCTACGATGTAATAGATTAAAGTTGCTGCTTAAGCCCATGTGGATATTCTTTCCACTGCCATTTCTCCCCATTATTCATACAGCAAGAAGCAACCTGCAGCAAAATGGCCCTTCCTTAGCTTCATAAGTTTGGGGGGTTTTCTATGCAGATAGGTAGGCTATTTCATTTTTAGGTGCAGAGAACTTGGAATGCTTCTATATATGTTCCAGTGCTTAACAAACAACAGCATACAGTAGGAGCTCCATAAATGTTTGCAGACTAAATTAAGGAACAACATCCACAACTAGGGAAATGGTTCAGTCAATAAAGCACTTGCCCGCCCTAGGCATGAGGACCTAAGTTTGATCCCCAGTACCCATATTTAAAAGCTGGATTGGTGCTTGTAATCCTAGTGCTGAGGAGATGGAGACAAGAGGATCCCTGGGGCTCATGGCCAGGCAGCTTTGCCAACTAGACACCTCCAGGTCCCAGGGGGAGACCAAGGTGGATGGCTCCTGAAAAGAGACACTACAGGTTGTCCTCTGCCTCTACATGTCCACACATGAATACCTGCACACAAATGTAGACCCAGAAGCATGCACATACACACTCACACACTCACAAGTAGGAAACTAAAAATAGATTTCTAAAAAGAAAGATAGTCAACAAACATCCATTGGCTGAATGATTCCTTCAGCTTCTCCCAATCAAATTCAGTAATCTAACAATACACTAACTTGTCATATTCCTGCCTTCTTGGAATGATATAGATTTATAGAAACAAAAGGTAGACTTTAAGATCAGGGATTGTGTATGTCCCCTAGGACTTTTGTATTTCTATAGAATGTTTTAGGTGTGCTGGATACTGGTCCAATAAAGGTATACCAATTTTAAGGTTACACATTTTCCCTATGAGCGAAGAGCCAGTTAAAAGCACTGCTATCCTGCAGAGATACACAGGCAAACAGGATGATATCCTGGCCCCACAGAGCAACAACCTAAAACACTTCAGACTCCAGGCAGGACTCATAGGAGGGCCAGAGGCTGGGTAGAGGGGCGATGGCCCTACCTCTGAATTGTCTTAAGACCCCTAGCTGCTTTCTGAACTGCTCAAAAGCTCCATTCTCTCTCTCTCTCTCTCTCTCTCTCTCTCTCTCTCTCTCTCTCTCTCTCTCTTTCTCTCTCTCTCATTTTTTTCATCTCAAGGAGAATAAAAACTATCTCAAAAGATTGTTACAAGGATAAAATGAAGTGATGGGCACACATTATTGAGCACAGTGTCTAGAGTGTAACTAGATACTACATGCCCAAGAAATGCAGGCTGCAGGCATCACCACCACTACCTTATCACTGCTACTACTATTACTGCAGTCATTAACACAGCTAAGGGAAAAGGTCATCTCCAAGGAGATAAACAAGTTAGGCAAAAGGAAGTTCACAACTGCTCTCAGGCTCTTTGCTTCCCAGAGTCCCTGAGGGCACAAAGACAGGCCAGGATAAAGGAACAACAGCCTTTGACCTAGACCAATGCTTTTCAAAGTCTTACATAGAAAGAATCCAGACCAGAGGAGAAGAGTGAATATTGTCAAGATGTGCCTTCCCCATGGATTTCAGACTTCTAGTATTTTGTCTCAGAAACCCATTCTCCTCAGTCTACTCATTTGTTGTCACCAACACAAGCAACAGAGATTGGTTACTCCCACACACTACTGGGTTATTTTGTATGCATTAACATTTCATTATCACAACAATCTTATGGAGGTTGTTATCAGTCTCATTATATAAAGAGACTGAGGCAAGATCCCAAGATAAACAATGATGGAACAGGCATGCCAACTCAGTAGCATGCTATCTCTTGAAATAAAAAATGCCTCCTTAGAGCTCATCCTCCAATGAGGCTCTGAGCAGACACACTGTGCCCCTGCACACAGCCATGTGTCCATACTCCACAGGAGAGGAATGGCCTGAAGCCCAAGGGCTTTCCGCAGATCTGCTGCAGTGAAAGACAGGCTGAGCACTAATGCCATGCTCTTCTGTGGTTAACAGGGCTGATGATGAGCGGGCCACCAGTGGGAGATGATTAAAACTCTGCTATTAACCAAGCCATAGTCGAGTAGACCTTCTTTTAAAGGAGCTTTTCATGGGGGACGGACACACACTATATTTTCTTCTTGACAATTTCCTTAATGGCAAGAAAGGCTATATGTTAGAACAAAAGAGACCCAAGGGCAAAGAGCAGATGATCCTCGCACAGGCAGGGGCTGAGAGTGGGAGAAAAGAGGAAAATTAAACAGGTCGAAGAGATCGCCTTTTATTCCTGCATAATGCTCCAGTGGCCTGCTCTACCTCGCTCTGCCATCTTCTCCAGGGGCACTAACAGCAGCCCAGAGCTTATGAAAGTTTAACCAGACTGATCAATACAGACAGAATGGAGGATTGTCCAGCTGAAAATTACCAAGTGCCTCATGAATATTTAAGGACCTCAACCAGAAACAGGGAAAAGGAACAGAAATCAGGATTTCATTTTTCCTTTGGGGGAAAAAAAGGACAAAAGGATGTCTGCTTGCTGCTGAGCACCAGAATCTAAAGCCACACAGAGAACTGAAAGTTTAAACAAATCACATCCAGCTGCACTTCTTTCCTTCAAACAGTAGGTTTAATCCAATCCAAGGTCATTCAAGATGAAGTACCAGTGGGGCTCATAAGAGATGCCTCAGCTTCTCAGAGCACACCATGATTTCACGTGCCCATGCCTGACCCTTGCTGTTCCCTTCTCCCAAAATGCAGTTCCCCTCACTTGTCCATTTGGGAAGCAGCAGAGCTCATTGTTAATAAGAGTTCTATCCTGCTGTTGCCAGGTACTAACTACTACTATCTGAACTGGCATAAGCTACCTCAACATCCTGTTATACATTTCTTCCTGGACAGAAGTAAAATGGGGGCAATAACAGTATCATGTATGGATAGTTATGAGGCTTCAACGATGTGAAGTATGTGTTAACACATTTTGCGCTCAATTAGAGGCGCATTCTGGTGTTGCTATGACTCAACTTCTTCCTCATCCACTACATCTCAGGCTTCTGCATCTTTTGCCCAGTCTTCCCCAACACCCTCAGGGTCAGCAGCATATGTACTGGCCACTGCACTCCTCCTCGCATATCCAGCTGTCCATCACACTCAGTACCTGGAATATTTGCTTCTACAGACAAAGCCTATGTCTATGTTGCTCAACTCTGCATCTCAAGTTACCCCCAGCACAGTGTATATACCTGACAGATACAAAACAAACAGTTGAGCAGGAAGAAGCTCAGGAAAGGAGAGAGCAGGCCTAAGGAAGGAATCCCACAGTTGTGTTCCTACCTTCGTGACCACACAGCATGCGGTCCAGATGTCCTCAGAGGACTGCTCATGGTGGTTGAACTGGGGCTCCCACTTCTTAATTGGCTGTTCTGCAAAAGCCAAAAGGATTCCTCCGTGGTCCACTAGAGCTGCTCGGACACTGCCTGTTCCAACGTCAATACCCACATAGTAGTGGCCTGGTTCCTGCTCTCCACCAGACATTGTGGTCCCTCTACCTGTGGTGAACAAGTGAAAAAGCCACATGAAGACCAACAGGCCACAGAGACAGGCACAAATATCTTCAAAGTGAACAGGAAGGGAAGTACAACTATCTACGTGGTGCCCATTCATTAATCTATACAACCAATGGTTTTGCAGGCACTGAGCAAGGAGAACAGACAGAGCCTCACATGACATTCCCACTCCTGGGAGTCAGAAATTATAGACCTAATTGCATAATGACAAGCAAAATTGGAACAAGAACCAATAAGAGAGCAGAGGAGACAGAGATGGAGCCAGCAGACATGAAAAGCATCCACCTTCTCAGTCAGTTCTGCAACAAATCAGCTCCACAGAGATCTGTGCTGAGCAGTGTGCACAGTGACGCATTCTCCACTCCTGACCCTGACTGGAGGTAAGCACATTGAAATCTCTGTTGTGCAGACCAAAAGGAGACTCTAGAGGGCAAGTTGCTCTGTGTTTACACTAGTCCACACACTCCACACAGCAAATGCCTATTGTGATGCTAATACCACGTTACACTGACTGGAAAACAGGTGTCTGCAAACAGGCATTTCCTCTGCCCCATGCAAGCATCTAGGCTTCAACTCCCCATCCCTGCACTCCGAAGTCTGAGGTTCTCTTCTGCAAAGGTTTGCAGTGCCAGTTTAGAGAAGATGCTGCTCTACTGTGGCCATCATGAACAAATTGGGAACTGGGAGGAGTCCCAGGAGAGCCAGGATCAAGAACGTGTTAGGCAATCTGTTTTCCTGAAGGACCCCTGGTGAGTTACAAGGAAACCTGACCAGAGAACCCTCAGGAATCCCTTGGCCCTTAGGGCTGTTCAGATTTCCTTTGGTCTGATGAGCCACATGACAAGAAATCTCACAGGGCTCTCACTTTCCAGACACTTATTCCACTGGCACAATCCCAGGAGCTCCCCAGGTGAGCTCAGCACTCTGAGCTCCCAGGGTCCAATTTTAACCTAAGCATTCTGCACCTTTCAACTGCACAAAGATGTTTCCTTGGCCATATCACACTTGGGAATTCTAAAACAAGTCAGTCAGCAGATGTTCAGTTACTGTTTCCTGGATATTTATCCCAATAAAAAGGGGGAAAAAATCATTAAAAGTAATAGCTTCTGACTAAATCACAGTGATTTCCCAACTGTGATTTCTCCCTTTTGACTCTGTGGCACATGAAAAAGAAAATAGAAAAGCAATAGTAATGACACTCACTCCTTCCCTGTGCGTGGGAGGTGAGTCTGCATCGCCCCCTTGGCTTTTTTCCCTTGGGAGCTCAGATGGCCATGAGCAGCAGCTTTCAAAATCACTCCACTCACTCAACAGTGATACCTTCTCTTCAAGCCATTACCCAATGAAGAGGAAATTTAGATAAAACATATAAAAGCTGAGCTGCTGGTTTGAAACAAAACTCACCTGTGTCCCATCCTGAATGCCTTCAGGGAGTTCCTCTCCTGGACCCTTTCTTGGAACAACTGAACACCATTGCGACAGAGTGTGACAGCCTGGGGCCCTCACCAAGTGAGACCCTCCATGAGCTACTACCCACCCCAACTAATACTGCCTTATTCCTTCCCACTCTGGGACCAAGAGATCCTTACAGTCCTGAGAGGTACATGTATGTTTACCACTCTTCCCGCCTCAAATCCTTCCTCTACCCATGGAAAGGCAACTACAGACTCACATCAGAAGACCTAGGTCATCCATCACCTCTGTGAGGGGGCCTTCCTCACCCCTGTTCCTTTTTACATATATCAAAGGTGACAATGCAGTATGGTACTTCTACTTTCCTTTCAAACTTTCTACTCTGAATCATTTTTTTGGTTGCATGTTTCTGTGTTAGTCTCCTTTACCGGCTTGAACCTGGGGGTGGGGGGACCTCAATGATTTCTCTGTCCCTACTTCCTTATAGCATCTGTACTATAATTGATTTTAAATAATTGTTACTGAATCAATTGATCAATGGATCAATCAACAAGGATGAACAAAGTCATGCTTTAATAGTTTGAATTTCTAAGTTGTGCTTACATAGTCATGTGTCACTTAACAAGGCTGCTTTTTCAGAAATGTATTCCAGGACTTCAGAATTGTGCGGGGATCACAAGGGCACTTACAGAAACCTAAAGGGAGTGGCTGGAGAGATTGCTCAGTGGTTAACAGTATTGGTTGTTCTTGCAGAGGACTCAGGTTCAATTCCCAGCACCCATATGGTGGCTAACAGTGGTCAGTAACCCCAGTTCCAGGAGAAGGGGGCACTTATATACAGGCAGTAAACTCATACACATAAAATAAAAATAATAAATAAAATAATTTTAAAAAATAAACATAGAGGGATAGCCTGCTGCATGCTGTTTCCCAATTGGCTAGTTCCTCCAATGGGTGGGGCCTGACACGGATAATGGACTATAAAGGGACTGCTGGGAGCCATCTTGGAACAGAAGCTGCAAGGAGGGGGTCGGGCTGTGAGCCATGGGGAAGCTCAGGAGCCATGGGAATGTGCAGCTGAAGCTCAAGGACTCAAGGACAGAATGGCCAACACTTATGGACCTGGGGCAAGATCGTGGGCCCCTGAGGCATGAGCGAATGCTAGTGGGGACTATGGTAGTTGTGGTGCGGTCTGATATGGCAGGCTCTTAGCAGCACCTCCAAAGGCATGGGGCTAGACACTGGGTACTCATTCCTTTATAAGTTAATAAATGCACATAAAATATATTATGTGGTTTGTCTGATAGTATAGGAGACCCAGAGGGAATTCGGGCAACAAAACTGGCATAGTCTGGCTGGATAAAGGAATTACAGGCTTGGGGATGTGGGTCTCAGAAAGCAGTGCTGTTCCTGCTGCCCCTGTGGTGGGTCAGCTGGGCTCTGAATCCCAAATCCAGGAGAGAAGCCAATCAAAACCCATATGCTTAATGGGGTTGGGGATAGTCGTATGGGTTATACAATGGATCATAAAATCTGTAACTAAAACAAGGCCAGCCACGCAGAAACGCAGAAGCATGGGCCACAGCTATGTTGTAAATGTGGGGATATGTTGGGGGTGTGTGAAGATTTGTTAAAGGTTACCCAAAGGCTAGAAAATCTTTTACCTGCTCTGGACCCAAATGGAGCTCCCAGAGAGAGAGTGTGGCCACTCTGCATGATAAAAGATGTGCCCCAGGCAGGGAGAGCTGAAAAGGCTGAGCTGGCAGATCCAGCTGCAAGGCTAGAGAGAGAAAAAAGGCAGGACACTTTGACTTGTGTAAAGTCCAAGGACTCAGAGGAAAACACAGATAATAGTAAAAGGAAATAAAAGCTAACTGTGCTGTAGCCAGGAAATATTCCATGCTAGAACTGTTAAAACTAGGAAAAACTTACAAGCAAGCAAGCAGAGCCCCTGGCCATGTGGCTTGTGAGAGTATGGGACATGGGAGGAAATGACATCAGTCTAAGTCCTTCAGAAGCTTCACAGCTGAGTTATATAACCACCCATCCATCCTTGGATATAGGCTGTTCAACCTAGGCCAATGCAGGGAGGAGCAGTCCTTAATGGGATGGCTGGTTGAAGGCATTAAAGATACATGGTTGTCACCAAGGGAGACACATGATTAGCAGGGGCTGGAGGACTATAAAGGAGGGGCAGGCATTCCTGAGAGAACTAGGTATGAGAAAAGCAATATATGATGCCCAATTCACTGGGCCAGATAGGGCTCTGTTCACCAGAGATATAAAGGAAAAAGCCTAATTCAACTGGGACCTTGAGAATGGTATGGGGCTTTAATGGTTTTACTAAGCCTTTTGATGGGACAGGATCTTTGTAAAGTGAGATAGGCTTTGGCAAATCTAAACGATTCTGACCAGCATGTAAAACGTGTCCGTAAAATAACAGAACACCTTATAAGACATATAAAAAAGACCAGACAGAGGAAATGGTCCACTTGGGTTACTCAAAGACAAATGTGGCAAGATTTATGTCAAGCCCAAATCCCCAGAGAAAAAACTGATAGAAAGCCAAATTCGGTACTAAGGTGTTTCTGAAAGGTTTTAAAACCAGAAGAACAGTTTACAAAGGACATTTTAAGGATAACAACTGTACAAGGGGTGGTTAAGAATCCCCAAAGATTAAATAAGATGCATTTCTCTTCTGAGAAAGGCTATACTAGGGTTGGAAGCAGGTTTTCCCACCAAGTTCTCCCCCAGCAACCTGGTGTGGTCAATGGGACAATGACAGGTGTGGCTACAGTCAGGAGGCAGACCCAGAGCCTGTCTGACTCGGAAACAGCGGGGACAGGAGAAACCCCCTGCCTCCTTAGCCCAGTGCAGGGTCAGGCTACTGGGGCCAACACCTGTAATTGTATCAAGAATAAAAGAATCCAAAGGGATAGCTAAAAATGGTAAAGAGCTAACCAAATTAATGCCTCATACCCATGCTATGGTACCTAACAAGGATCTATGGAGAAAACAGTTAATACGAATGGACAAAACCTTTCCATGCTGTGTGAGACCTTGTCTATGACTGATTTAATATATAATGTTAATGTTCCTTCGAGTATTTTACAGATGTGAAACCCATTTGAAAGATACCTGAAGAAGCAAAGGCCAGCTATAGATGTAAGATTCTTGGGAGTTTTATGTAGGTTGGGTAAGATGAAGATAGAGACTCTCAAATTATAAAACTGTTAAGAAAATCTACAGTACCAGGTGTGGACTGCCCCCCCCCCATGAACTGTTGGTCAGAGAGAGATCCTAGAGGTCCTCCAATTCACCAAGGCTATTGCCATTAACGTCGGTTGTACACTAGAAAAGTCGGTGAGGCCATGTTGCTGAGGACACTGCATGTTGTGAGCACGGGAGAAGAAGAGATGGAACTGAGACTAAGCCAAAGCACTCTGTGCCACTGGATGGATGATGTTCATATTGCCAGGAGGCTCTATATGGATGGTTGGGGAAGAAAGGCTCACCTATAATTCCACTCAATGATGGACCCCGTGTGCTGCACACTATGGACACACCAAGCAATACCTGCAATTGCAATAATGGCTTGACCAACATACGTACAACTGACAAATTTCTAATTGGACCGCTCCTAGGGGTGGTACACACATCTGGTGCTGTAGAACAGGCCAATGCCTTGTGTTGAGAAAGGCTACAGGCCCTAGTGGTGAAGGCATCATGAGTATAGTACACCTACTGGGATATCTTTTAGGCATTTGTATTTACATTCATATTTGTTTAAATGTGTCTACTTCCTTCCATTTGTCTTTATAGTAGAAGAAACATCTCTGAGATAGATCAGTGGCCACAGCCTAAAGATGACTAATGGGGAGGCCCAAGAAGCCACTATGTCACCATGATACAAGAGAGATGGCCCTACATCTATCACCCCCTCCAAGGCTCAGGGACTTTAGCAGAAGATGGATGGGAAGATTGTAAGAACAGAGGAAAGGGGTGGAGGTCTCCCAATTGGCTAGTTCCTCCAATGGGCGGGGCCTGACATGGTGTATGGACTATGAAGGGGCTGCTGGGAGCCATCTTGGAACAGAAGTCACACGCTGCAGCTCAAGGACAGAATGGCCCAACACTTATGGACCTGGGGTGAAATCATAGGCCCCTGAGGCATGAGCAAATGCTAGCGGGGACTATGGTAGTCATGGCATGGTCTGATATGGCAGGCTCCAAGCTGCACTGCCAAAGGCTTGGGGCTAGGCACTGGGTACTCATTCCTTTACAAGTTAATAAATATACATAAAATATATTACATAGTGCCAGGCATGGTAGCACATGCCTTTAATCCCAGTACTTGGGAGGCAGAGGCAAGTGGATCTTTGTGAGTTCAAGGCCAGCCTGGTCTACATAGTGAGTTCCAGGACAGCTGGGGCTACAAGGAGACCCTGTCT